ATACATAGGCAGACAGCAGGGCACACAGACACATACAGACACATTTGGCACTCACACTAGCACTAGCACTAACAGCACTGAGGGCCCATCTTGTTGCCCTCTCTGGCTGATCAGGGATCTGTTAGTGGCAAATGTATATAGGAACATGTGTACAGCATTGGCTCCTGAGCTGGGCCCAGGCTTTCAGTCTTCCCAGTAGCTGCCCTTGGATTTCAGGCTCCCAGCTGCTGACATCTGGGCATACAAGCTCCTGAGGTTGGCACCCCATTCCAGCTGCTGATATGGAACCCCTCGCTCACAGGTACACCCCTCACACACCTACCCACACTTCTCCAAAAAGAGGAGAAAAGAGGCTGAGCTGCATTTGTTCTCCTCCATTTTGAACAGGCATGTTGTATTCCTCCTGGACCTCTCTGCTTCTTTGGTTCTTCCCACATTATCTGGCATTCCGGCTCCCTTGCCCAGAGAGGTTGTGGATGCCCCATCCCTGGAAGTGTTAAAGGCCAGGCTGGATAGGGCTCTGAGCAACCTGGTCTAGTGGAAGGTGTCCCTGCCCATGGCAGTGGGGTTGGAACTAGATGTTCTTTAAAGTCCCTTTCAACCCAAACCATGCCTGGTTCATGGCAGGGAATCTTTTATGTGTAGGAATGACCAGGTTGGTGGAGATGACTGGACTGGTGGTTGCTGGTTTTGGTGGTTACTTGTGTTGGTGGCTACTGGTTCCACAACTTCTCTCACTGATGACGGTGCCTGCTGTATTGTGGCAAGCTCTGTGCTAAGCAGTTCACAAATGGTCTGAATTTGACCATACCAGACTAAGAGCTGAATGCTTATGCCATTTCTCAGACACTCAGCTCTAGCAGAAATCCTTGCATGATATTTTGGTTGGGAATTAAAAACAAAGTAATAAAAAAAGAAAGCAGCCTTTCTCATTAAAATTTCCCAAAGAAACAGCAAGGAGGCTGAAAATCCTCTCCATGTTCTGAAACAAATCCTGATTTAATTTTGTGGTTAGTTGCTTAAATGTTTCAGGAGTAGTCCTTCTCTCATTTTCCAGTAATCCCAAGAGAAGTTAAGTCCCAGACAGACATGACAGAGGGCAGAACAGTGGGACAATGTGCAAGGTCCTGATGATGGTCGGGAAAGCTCTGATTTGACTCAGCCTTAGTCTGTCACATCGGTGGCTTGAGAACCTCATCTTGCCTGCCCAAACTGAGCATATTTGATATGAAATCAGTGAGACATGATACAATACCCTTGAGGAACGTTTCTGTGTTTACACTCCCTGGAGTTGAACTGCTTTTATACGATGCTTATTTGCTGATTACAAGTGGCTCTGGCTGTGGGCAGAGCTCTCACTAGCAGCTGAGGGGATGAGTAAGGACCTCTGAGTATGTGATGTGACAATACACTCTTTTGCTTTGGTTTTCAGCCAGACATTCTGTCTATGGCTCATGTGCGATGCCTCACGCCCTCCCCTGCTCTGCTGTTTACATCTGCAATGTCTCTAATAATGGTAATATCAGGAAGTTTCACCAGTATTGTGAACTTTTTCAGGTATGTGTGTGTAGTGTCTCTGATTGCATCTCTTGTGCTCCTGGGTTTTGACATTGTTTTATAAGTATTTTCTTTCAATATGTTTTGAGCCTGCTTTTTAACCAATATTGGGGAGGAGGGAAGAAAGAAAATAAAGAACCTGGGACTCAGCATCTTTGCAATGCATGAAGGCTTCTGTCACTATAGACTTAACTGGATGTGATTCATCCTCATATTGAAATGAATCTGTAATATTCAGATCATTCTGAAGTTCTCAATGTTTGTGCTGGAAAGGACATGAATGGAACAACTACTAAAGTTATGACAATATTCTCCTTTTTAATTGGAGATATGAACATCTGGGATCTTCAAGGCAGGCCTGACATTCCTGGATGATCTCACCCCAATGCAATGCTGTCTTTTTTTTTTCTTCCAGTTTTATAGCATGGCTTTTCTATGGCATGACTATTTCTGGGCTCCTGTATTTAAAAATCAAGAAACCAGAACTGCCAAGATCTTACAAGGTGAAGTAAGAACACAAACCCCTCAAACCCTTTTCCTATATTACCCAAATGACTAAGAGAACATTATAAAAAAAGAGTGAGCACTGGTTGCTTACAGATTTAATGTGGTTGACCTTGCTTTTTTAATTTCAAGTTTTGTCTCAGCAAAGTCAACAAGGGGTGAGATAGTGTGAATATACAGGCATAAGTCAAGGCTGAATTCTCTGTCTTGGTAAGCTAATAATGCACTGCCCCTTCACTATGAAAAATATATCTACCTTATCTTCTTTTATTTCTAAAAGATTTGAGGTAAATGAAGGATGATTCTGAACAACAGTGCAGTCACCTGTTTATGCTCTCAGACCTTGGTCACACTCCTCAGAGGGTAGCCCAGGTGTAAGAAAATTGCAGAAGGAAAAGTAACTCAGCCAGAATGCCCCAAGTCCTTTGAGACAGCCAGAGGGCAGGTTTGTTCCCCACAGAACACCTAAGAGGCAGCAAATCAGGAGTCACATGTTCTTCACCCTGATGCCATCACTGAGCTCACCTGCAGTGCTTCCTCAGTGACTGAGGGAAGTATTTTTATAGAAAAGATCACAGGGATCCATGAGACTGTGAAGAGGACAGTGACTTTTCCCTTAGACAAGCTGAATGAACATCCTAGTTTTCATGGGGTTCCTTCAGGAGCTAGATGACAGGCTGTGCAAAGCAGTACTGAGTGTCCTTTGGGGCCTTGTACAAAGTACAGGAGCAGTGCTCAATTAAGCCTTCCAGTCACTGACTCTATCCTGAAATTAGGATGCTGGGTGAGCACATTCACTCATGTTAGCTGAATGGGCTTTGAAGAAAAGAAGTCCTGTTTCTGTATTAGTGTTTCACACACTGTATAGAACTCTCATAGTCTTTCTGGCCAGTCTGGTGAGGATGTCAGCCTGCCACAGCCTTTGGCTTGATGACCTGACTCTTTCCTTAACTAGAAGCAGCTCATATCTGAAGGTTCCACGCCAACTGACAACCTATGCCCTTGGTTTGAAAACAATCATTTTTGTTAGCATTTTGCCAAAAGTGTTAGAAGACAGTGAGGAGGGAGCAGACTAGAGCATCCCACTAAGGCAGATGAAGCCAACAGCAGGTTTTTTCCATGCTCTCACAGGTAACTGTGAACAGCATTTCCTTTGGTCTAAATCTGTGCTCTTGTGTTGGACAAAAAGCACACAAAAAAAGGGAAAATCCCAGCCTTGACATTCAGTTTTTCATCTTTTTGTGCAATCATTTTATCTTGTGCATTCACTAGCCTTTGAGAGAAGGTGGCTTCAAGTTTAAGTTTAAATGCTTTCTGACCAAGCTTATAGAAAGTGCCTCTGAGATTGCCCATCCATCTGTCAACACATGGAAAAACCTTTTCGCCCAAGGGTTCTAAGGTATGGTTGATTAGTACACAGCTGCTCTGTGCTTTGTCCACAGCTCAGCTTTTACGTGCGAAGTGGTAGGGAGAGCAAGAAGAGACCTGGCACTAAAACCAGTACTTTGCATCTTCAGGTCTAAGAGGGCAGGAAAGAACAGGGGATAAGGTGCATGGTGGTGGTGTAGCTCTTGTGGAGATGTTCAGCCTTGGAGTGGGACTGGGCTGGGAAACAGGATGTCTGGATTAATTTGGATTTCTAGGTAAAACCTCATGTTACAGCAAGGTTTCGTCTAAAAACCCTGCAGAAGTTTTACAGTTGTCCAGACCCTCAGCAGCCCAGAATTATGTGAGTCATTATGCTGATGTTTTGCTTTCACAGGTCCCAATTATCATCCCCATAATCGTGCTGATGGCAGCTGTGTACCTGGTGTTAGCTCCCATCATTGATCAGCCCCAAATGGAGATCCTCTACATCATCCTGTTCATTTTCAGTGGCATCATTCTTTATTTCCCACTGGTTCGCTTCAAGCGGCACCCTCGCTTTTTACAGACACTCACTTTACACCTCCAGCTGTTCCTGGAAGTTGCTCCGACCACCAGGGATGCAAACTGAGATAATGTCCTCCTGGCATATGGCTGCCTGTCCTTCATGGTTTATCCCAGCACCTTGGTTTGCAAGGCTCAGAAAACATTCTTCTGTAAGGAGGAATGAGTATAATGAAAGTGACACTAAACTTTCCAGCTGAGATGGACTATAGCCATGACTCCTGAAATTTCCTTAAAATTTTGGGGACATGTTTTTCTCATTTTCAGCTCTGCCTTGGCAGATTATATACAGATTCCAAAGGAATAAGTGCTCTTGTATTTTCCATCCCAAGAAAAGCTGTTTGTCAAAATCTCAGCTCTTATGTTTCAAGCTAATAGGCAACAAAAGACTGACAATGAAATATTATTCCTATAGCAGGCTGTGACCCTAAGCCATTCCTGGCAATGCCTTTAAGTATTTCTACCTAGTTCTGTCCAATGTGACCACAGAGCTTCTCAGATCAATAAAGAATGGGCTCACCATGATCACAGCAAAAAACCACTTTTTCACTCAGATATTTGCTCTGGGAAGACCTTGCATCTTCAAGTCCTAGGTGCATAGTCACAGCTGTCTTTTCTATGTCTCAGAAATAATCCCACATCTCCCATAGAAAAACCTTGGACATGAGACAAGAAATGCTTTAAAGCTCTGTCAGTTTACTCGGTTGAGAATGCACTTGTCATCTAGGATCCATCCATTCATGGTGAAGACACAAGCGACATCACTCAAGTCCCAACAGTCACCCAATATTTTTCCTGTAATTCCCCAGAAGACAAAGATCTTGTGACAAAGTGAGGAAAAACCCACCCAATTCTAGAGCACATGTGCCAGCAAGACTCTCTCCCTGGGAATTAAAGAAACCACATACTGGGCTACATTAGGACAATTGTGGCCAGCAGATCTAGGAAATACTCTGCCCCTTAAAACTCAACACCTGAAATCATACATCATCCAGCATTGAGCCCTGGTGTTCAAAATAGAGTTGTGAAGGCCATAGAGCCAGGCTCTTTTTGGGGGTGGCAACTAAGGGCAACAGCCACAAATTGTGGCTGGAGCTGTTCAGACTGGACTTAAGGAAAATTTCTTCACCAGGAGGGCAGTACAACCATGGAGCTGTGTGGAGGAATGTGGTGAGATCTCAGTTCCTTTACATTTTCCAACACAGCCATTTCCACCAATTTATGTGATTCTAAAGGCACAGCACAAAAGTTATGGGCTGTGCTCTCACCTACACCTGACACACTGATGTTGCTGTTGTTTCCCATTACCTTGAGGCTCAACTGTTTTTCTCCTGTTCTTGGGGAAAGAGAGACATTATATGCTGTTTTCTTCCCATTTGTCCAGATTGTTCCTGGATGAGACCTGTCCTGTTAGAGGCTAAAAAGGTCTTGAAGTTAGTCCTTAAAATGTCTTGTTATATCTTAAAGTACTGAAAGTTACTCAGGTCAACTTTCTGTCAGCATTCTTCTACAGATCTGTACCTAATGCTGCTGCAGCCCTGGAACAGGGTCACTCGATCCTCTTCCATCCCATCTCAGAGCTGTGTATCTGATTACAGTCTCATTCTGCAATGCCACCCCTCCTGTTCCTCTGAGTGGTGATACCAGCAGCTACAGGGATGCAACAAGAGTCTGTTTTTCCAAGTGTTAGGCATGATAATAGGATAGGCCAGTAGCTGCTCATCTAAATCCTTAGCTTAAACAGTGTTTAAACAGTGTTTAGTGTTTTTACTGGAGTTATCAACAAAGGCCAATGAAGGAACAATTTTCTTTCCTAAATCCTATGACAATGAAAAATTCTTGGAATGCCACCTTATCTTCCTTCCCCGTATACTTTGAAGGAGAGTGTGTGCTTAAAGGACTGATGAGCTCCAGGTTACCTTCTCACCGCTGTCCCAGGCTCTTCATCGGATGTCAGGCAAGCTTCTTAAAGGACCTTCATGTCAGCTACTTATCTAAAAATGAGGATAAAATGATTTCTCTGACTATAGTATTTTTTTCAAAAAAACGCACTTATGCAGCCTACCACAGGGGGCTGTGCTCTTCTGAAGTGGAGACTAGTGATGAGTGGTCCCTTCCAACCCAAACCATTCTATGATTCCATCTACAGTCCATATCTAGAAAGTGAGAATTTAAAAGCTTATTTAAAGGTTAGACATGCACAGTAGTTGGTGCTTTAGTAATCTATGCTTGCATACCTAAGTACAATCAGGGCTGGTATTGTCTGCATGCAATTCTTGTGGAACAGGAGTTATTCCAGCTGTTTGATATAATGGGTGTAGTATACTATAGATGATGTGAAGATGAAAGGATTAAATAGTTTGCTCAGCCACACAGGAAATATGTGGAAAATATGACTGTTTCCCCAAGTTCCAGTCAAGCATGTTACCATGTAGCTCATTCTTTCTCCCTGTGCACCTGTGAGATATGAACAATAACAATGAACACAAAAAGACTTAGCACTTTGGATAAATAGCCTTTATTTGTTAATTGGTTTGTGTCTGAATACAGGGGAGCTGAAAAGCTACATCATATTTTGCACCAATCTCATTTTCTATAGATATTACTGTAGCGAGATGTTCTTTTTATTTATGTGGCCCAGGATTTGCAAGCACAGGTGTTTATAATGCCAAAACAAGATGCAGAAAGGTCAGAGAATGGCAAAGTAATTACAATAAAGTGGGCATTACAATGAAGTGAGTTGATGTGGCTGTTTTTGTTTTTACCCAAGAAAACAATTCTATAGAAATTTTACTGCATGATCATAAACAATGAGCATCAGACTCATCGCTCCTTGGTCGGAAGGTTTAACTTCATGCGTGGGTGCTTATATGTTCATACACTCATTTTTCAAAATGATTGCATCTCTATTCAACCCCAGCATATGCAAATCAGAATCGCTTTTTCCTTCATCAGGCATTTACAATAGAAGTGTCAGGAAGAGGCAGCATGTCCTTACCTTTTGTTACTGCAGCACAGTGACAACATGACAGCAGATAGAGCTCTGTAACTGCCACTTGTACAGGTCGTACGATGGTTGTACAGGACCACGTTGGTCCTGTCTGTCCCCAAAGCTCCAGGTCCCTGTGAGCTGTGCTTGGCCCCTTTCTTCATGGGCTCAGAGGAAAGCTGGATTATCAGTATCACCCTCAAGACAATCATAAGGTCTATACTTCACCTCAAGATGCTCAGAATAATTGAATCCTATCCTTTGGCTGACAACCTGCAACCACCAGCTGGGAGTTTTACCTTGCTGCACAAAGCTGAATATATTCTGGGCCTTTTCCTGACTTCCTCAGAAGCGTCAGAGATGAACTACACCTTGGGACAGTCAGGAACAGTCCAGTGTGTGAGACAGTACAGAAAATTCTCCCTTGGTGATTACCTGGTAAGCCTTGTTCATATGGCCGAGTTTAAGTGACTGTCATCACTTGCGGCTGAGAAGAAATTTCCCCTTGGGTGGGACAGAGCAGAATCCATAATGACTATAATTTTCTTCTGTTGGAGAAACACAGTTCACCTGCTTGGATTGGCTGGGTTTATCTTACCAGTTCTCTGCCAGTGCAGAGGGTTTGGTGTTCAGTCTCTCCTGCTCTTTCCTGGTGCACACTGGAGGCTTCACTGGAGCCTCTCAGCAGTGCTAACTTGTGCTCCAGGACATCTCACTGATTGTAGAGCTCCCACTTTCAGAGATGAAATAAACACTGCCAGCTCTGGAAATCACAGACCATTCCAGTGTGGGTGGAAATCAACCTCTGGAGGTCTCTAGTCCAACTCCCATCCTGGAGCAGAACTATTCTCCGCACTAGATTAGGTCACCTGTGACTCTGTCTCTGCATGTTTTGGAAAACACCATGGATGGAGAGCCCACATCTCTCTGCACTGCCCTGCTGATAGTGAAATTTTCCTGATGTTCGGTCTGAACATCTCAAGCCACAGATCATGGCTGTTGCCCTTCACTGTATCATCTGCTACTGCCAAAGAATTGGCCCCATCCTTTTTGTAACTCTCCTTCATTGAGCTGTAGGTTGCTATTACATTGCCTCTTCTTTTTGCCAAACTCAACAAGCCCAATTCTTTCAGCTTCTTCATTTAGGTAATGTGCTCAGGGCCTCTGACTGTCTTGGGAGCTTTCTGCTGGACCCTCCCCAATTCCTCCACTTCCTTCTGAACTGGTGAGGGGTCAGGTAGTACTAAGTGGACGGTTGGACTTGATGGCCTTAAAGGTCATTTCCAACCTTCATGATTCTATGATTCTTTGAAAATTGGATGCAACATTCTAAGTGTGCCCTCACAGGTATCAAGTCTACAGAGACACTGACATCCCTTGGTCTGCTGACCATACCTCTACTAATGTAGGCTACTATGTGTCACCCCAGCTCCTTTCAGCCAGTCAGCCCCAGCCTATGCTGGCACATGAGGTTATTCCACCAGAGGCTGGACTCATGCCTCTCATTGCTGAACTGCAGGATGCAATTGCTGACCTAATCCTCAAGTTTCTCTGGGTGCATCTGGATCAAAGCTCCACCATTTGGCCTGTCAACCACTTCCCCTAATTTACTACCACCTGTGAATTTGCTGAGAGCACATTTTGTCACATCAACCAGGTTGTCCATGAAGATACTGAACAGTATTTGCCTCACATCCAACTCTGATGATACCTATTACCAGCTGCTGACCAGTTGTCAAGTCACCAATGTAGCCTTAGCTTGCTCTGTAAAGCTACACGCTTCTAAGTGCTTCACCTGACTCAGTCAAAGGCAATGGCAAACCCTTATTTTATGTAGTTGGTGCTCACATTAGAAACTTTGACTAAGCTGTGATAAATCCAGCAACAGGATGACTCAGTCTAGCAGTGCAGAGGGATCTATATCTTGCACTTTACCATTTATTGACTAGTTAGTTGGATATTGTCAGGGTCTTTGTGTGTGTGACTCATTCCTCATGAAGGAGTGATTTTTGCCAAAAAAGGATGCAGACTCTGGGGCATACAATAAATGGGTGGTCTTAGGTTTGTGAACTAGCAGT